GCCACTGGGAGGATAAATGGTGCTAGAAGGAAACTTGACTTTGGGTGATGAACACACAATACGATATACAGATGATGTATTATATATTTGTACACCTGAAACCTATATACTTTTATTAACCAACATTACCCCAATAAATTCAACAAAATATTTTAAAAATAGTTATTAACCTACATGTTTATATGAAATTGTACTTTTTGTTGTTAATCCTCACCTGAGGATATTTTTTTTTATTGATTTTTAGATAGAGTGGGAGGGGGAAAGAGAGAGAAACATCAATTGGCTGCCTCCTGCACAACCCTGACTATGCAGGGATTGAACCTGCAACCCAGGTACGTGCCCTTGAGCTGGAATCAAACTCATCACCCTCAGTCCTCAGGCCGACACTCTAACCGCTGAGCCAAACCAGCCAGGGATGTACGTTTTTATAATAGAGACAGTAGAGAAGAGGAGTTGACAGCATGACTCAGGAGCCAAATTCCTGGATTTAAATTCAATCTCTGCAGCTTATTAGGTAGCAAACTCCAACAAGTTATTCTCATTTGTATATGGTGATAATAACAGTACCCATCTCACAGAGCTGTGAAAATTAAATAGGTTATAGGTCAAGTGCTCAAAACAGTGGCTGGCACATAGTAAGTCTATAAATAAGCTTTTGATTTTAAGTTTGCAACTTATTTTTCCATTCTGTTGCTTTCTTTTTGTATTTATTCTAAGATACTTGGTTCAATAAATAAATACATCCAAGGATGCACTTTAATTGCTAGGAAATGTGTCGTTTTATAACAACTCTCTAACTATTTGGATTTGGTTGGCTATATGATACTAGAGTATGGCTTCAAGTGGAGGAAATAGTCCAAATACTTAACAATTGTTTTAGGAGCCAATAAAAATATTTAACAATTGATAAGAATCAATCAACCAGAACAAGGCACCCACAAATCAGAACAGAGCCCAACGAATCACTTGAATTTGGCATCAACCAATAAGAGTATACTCATTAAATATCACCCGAACGCTCCAGTTGACTCTTTTCTGTACTGTTAACCAATTGTTCTATTAACATGTATTTAATAGTATTTTTTTCAAAGCATATTACTTCTAACTTGCAATATAGTCATGTCTCCTTTTAATGGGGATATTTAATGGTTTAATTGTGTTCAAAATACCTTTTACCTTTTACTTCTAGTCACGTAGAAAATCTAGCTATAGCTACTCTCATGAGTACCATACTAATTGCAAAATAATGTGAGGAATGAGTGAATTTCAGCCTGTCATGGAGACTTGAAATGGAATATTTAATGTAGACAAGACATTGAAGCTACACGTTACAGATTCAGGGATTGTTGTCACAATGCTAAAACTTTCTGATAAAATGTGAGAAAGACACTAAAAAAATCTTATTTTTCACACATTGTGGAAAATACTGAGATGTTTGGAAGCCCCTGGCTGTTTGAAATGAGCTTTTTATTTGCCATTGTATAAGTACAGTCATAGCCTCTGGTTATCAAAAAGTGCATTGATAAGCAAATAGAACACACTCCACCAATTGCCATTGACAGAATTCTGTCATTGCCAGTGCCTACTTCATTGATATTTGATACAATTTTTCTCTGAGAAGTGAAGGAATAAGTACAAGCTGTCTCTTTGGCTTTTATATGGTTTTTACTTTCATTTCTTGTTCCACCTTTTACATAATTCTCAAATCTCAGTAACTGCTTCTTACTAGTTGTACGCTGCTGGGCATGGTGCTCTGAAAAGGTAAATAAAAAGAAAGCTATATTTACCAATCAGATTAGCAAATTGGGAGGTATATAATGACTTTGTTCATCACATTTTCCCCATTCTGTCGCTTCGCTTTTGAATTTTTAATTGATGTGTTTCATTGCTTACACATTTTCCTGAAACCTGGGAAACTATCTGTAGGCAATACCAGTGGGCCACACTTTCAGAGGGACATCCCCAGCACTCTGGAAGGCAGACATATAAAGTCAGCACATGTTGGATGAGGTCAGACACAGGTAGAAGTCCCCTTTAAAGGTATGGTCTAGGCTAAAAGCAGAAAGATCAGGCCTTGACAATGGCTAATCATCGAGGACAACATATTTCGAGAAAGCATGTGTCAACATTGTGGGATCAGCAACTTGAAAATCAGGAAAATGAGTCTGAGGGGTAACATTTTAGAGGTCATATTATCATCTGGGAGGAGGTGTCCATGGAGCAGATGGTGCAGGTGTATTAGATACACCCCTAAGGAGCAGAAGAATATATCGGGGTCAAAACAGGGCATAGGCCTGTGTTCAAATCCCAGTTCCGCCACTTCCCAGTGACTTCAAGCAAGTTATTTAATCCTTCTGGGCTTGTTTTCTCTTCTAGAGAATGGAGATGATGATAGTAATATTTACCTCGAGGGTAGTGCAATCAACTGATATATGAAAGTATTTAAAATGCTGCCTAACACATAAGGACTAGAGTAAAGCCCTTAGAATGTGCCTTAGTAAGTATTTGTTACTGTTACACTATTATTGTTTGATGCCATTAATCACTGTGCTTTGATGACATAGTCACAAAAATGACCCTCTGTTTATCAAGTACCTTCCCTTATAGATTTGCTTATTAGGCCAGGATGTGCTGATCTAAGGAAATTGCTATCCCATCTGATGAGGTGATTTGAGCTTTCGTGGAAATTAATCTTCTGATGCATACATCATTTTGCTGTGATTTTGATTAGTATTGCCCTGTCTGAGGAAAGAACAAGATCTGCTTCTTGGACCTGCAACACTGAAAGCCAGTTGGAGGTGAATCCATCCAGGAACTACCCCTTTGCAGGCTCCGGCCTGAGTGACAAGAAGACGACAGCAAGTCACAATCATGTCTTCCAGGAAACTACTTGTGATAACACCTGGTGCGTTTGCACGAGAACGTTCTAACGGAGACACAAGAAGGTTAGTTCATCTGTGAGCATGTGCACCCCTCAGGCCCACACTCACAGCCTATGAACATCTCAGGCTGCGCAATAACTTCGAACCTGAGAATCAGATAAACATACTGGATGGTGTGAGCCACAGTGCTTTCCCATCAACATCGGTTGATACTCAAGGAATTGCTTATTCCAGCAAAGACGTGGCATCCACAAAAACGGGTAGTGCTTTTTTTCTATTAATAGTGTTTAAATAATTTATTTTGTTGTATCATTCATTACATCCATCAAGTGGCAATAATTTGACAAGCCTGGCAGTACAAATACCTATCAGGCTCCCCACGGGTGGCAGGGAGTCCTGCAAAAGGTCACTGCATCTGCTGGAGACCTGGGGAATGGCGAGGCAGCCTTTTACTGAGACTTTTGCTGGAACCCCCCCACTGGGAAGATATGTTTTCCATGGTCTTATTAGTTTAAAATTTAATAATTTTTCAGCATTTATTGTTTTGACAACAAGCTCCCATTAGAAAAGAAAAGAAAAGAAAAAAAGGACAAACCTTGCCTCTTGCTTTCAACTAGAATACTTTTCCAGAATGGTATTGTTTGCAAGCAAATGCCAAGGCAATGATGCTGGAGCCCAGTGAAAGCTGCTGGCTGAGCTCCAGGGAAGAGCTGAACGTCAGTCTTGCTCCTCAGTCCCAGAGACGAGGCCATTTACGAGTCATTAAAACAGCGCTGGATGCTGACGATGCAATCATGACTCAGATAGCCAGGGTGCTGTTCTTCTCCCAGACACAGAAAGACTTGGTATTCTTCCTAATCCCTGCAGGTAAATAACAGGCTCTCTACTGAACCTTTCTTCTCTTTAGTTAAACATTCATAGTTTATTCCTCATTCCTCTTAAGAGAGGCTTTAGGCTCCATCATCAACTTGACAAGATTCACCCAGGAGACCTTTTAGGAGGGCCAGATCCTCTGTAGGTTTTAATCCTAACATATGACTACATAACCTACCGATATACCTCAATTTTTTAAGTTCTTTTGGGCCCAGCCAGGAGCATATGAGAGCTGCTATAGATTCTCAGACCAAGACTAGAGACCAGACCCCAAATATATTGCATCTTAACCTCAGGATCCAACGGAACAGGGTTATATCACTGACACTTCCCATCGAAGATGTCAGCTCCTGGAGGTCTTCAGACAGAAAACCACATGCTGTGTGACCAGGTTGGACAAAACAGTCAAACTTCACCATGAACTTGTCATTCTTAGGACAGAGCAAAATCCTGAGAGCCATTTTTTTTTGGAAAACTGTCAAAATACAGGCGTTAAACGTAGAGGATACTACAAATAACAAAGGAGTAATAAAACTGCCAACTTTGCGTTTCCCTCCAAGCTGTATTTTGGCAAAATTCTATTTGTTCTCTTTCAAGAAGAGAAGACTGTCAGGTTTAAGGGCTCAAGCAAACAAGAAACAGGACACATTAACTGAAAGAATTATTATCATCGACGTTTGAGTGCTGAATTACATTCTTCATAATTTTACACCTAAGTAAAGTGCGTTTCTGTCCACGCTTGTGAAGACAGAGTTTTTCTCGTGTCTGACATATCCAATACCAATAACTGTGCCATGCAGCAACCAGAGTGGAAAGCCGGATGAGTCTGAAAGCTTTTTTACTGTAGCGAACCCAAGGATGTGAAAAATGCATTGTCACTCCATTACGTTGGCATCGAGGTGTGGAGTAACTGATCAACACCCCTGAACGTGTGACTGGAGACAACAAGGCATAGAAAAAGAAATGTTGCAGTTCTAAAAAAGTTGACTATGTGTGTATTATATGTATTCCAGAATTAAAGCATCGTGGTCTAAAATATTATCTTATAAAATAAACATGAGCAGAGTGAATCCAGGCACAACTTGACAAAAGTCACTATATTATATGCATTTGTAACACAAACACAAAATGGGAGTTAGAAAAATATCAGACTGAGGCTTAAGCATGTCTTTACATTTCTATTTATTTTATAAGCATTTTAACATCTCTCTCTTTTTTTTAAGTCACTGGTAGATGCAATCTAACTGTAAAATCCTTCAACTATCAGAACCGATTCATACAGCGAGAGACAGAATTCACAAAAGCCAAGTGGGAGAGGAGTACCAGGATCCTTAACTCAGCTCTGCTCCACTGACAAGCACGTTCCCCTTTTATTAGGCTTGGCGGAGCTGATGTTCCGAGTGGTCCTCCCTTATTTCTCTGTGAAAGTGAATAGCAAGTTCTGAGCCATGTTTTTGCTTTCCCTCAGTTTCTCCTGTGACAAATAACTTCTTGCAGTAAGACATGAAAAGATGGCATGGTAATCAGACTGGAACAAGGAGGTGCAGTTTCTCTACATCAGCGTGCCTCAAAAGGGGGTTCCAGATCACCTATGTTAGAATCCCCCAAAGTGTATCTTGTTTACAAACAGGATGCCGAAGTCCTATCCAAGCCTCAGTATCACAGTAAAGTGAGTCACAATCTTTTTTCTGGTGGAAGAGGGTCTTGCCTTCAATCTGTAAAAAACGCAACATCCGTGAAGCACAATGAAGTGAAGTGCAATAAAACGAGGTGTGCCTGTCAGTCAGTAGTGCGCAGCTCTGCTATGCAATAGAATCACTTAGGGGATTTAAAGACACATACCTATGACTGCACCGCATCCCCACCAGAATGCCTAATTTGGTTGGCCTGAGGTGAAGCCCAGGCAGCAGTATTTTTTTAAGTTCCATATGTTGTGTTAAACTATAACTAGGATTGAATGTTTATAGCAGTATTATTCACAATAGCCTAATGTAGAAAAGAACACAAATGTCTATCAACAGATGAATGGATAAACAAAATGTAGTATAAACATACAATGAAATGCTATTCAGCCATAAAAAGGAAGGAAATTTCAATATGTGCTACAAAATGGATGATCCTTGGAAGCATTATGCTAAGTAGAATAAGCCAGACACAAGAGGAAAATTTGTATAATTCCACATATAGGAAAAACTTAGAATAGGCAAATTCACAGAGGCAGAAAGTAGAATAAAGGTTACCAGGGTCTGGGAAGAGGGGAGACAGGGAGTTAATGCTTACTGGTTAGAGTTTCTGTTTGAGGTGATAGAAAAGTTTTAGAAATATGTAGTCTTCTTAGCCAATTACTCCATATAAACATAGCTTCTGCAAAAACAAACAAACAAAAAAAACGATATTAGAGAAATTATAACTGGGAAGAACACTCTGAGTGTACATTGCCAATCGCATTTAGCGAATAATAATAAAGACATCTAGGAGTGCAGTATTAATAGTAAAATACCCTCTGGATCTCTGTAAATAAATATTATTAAATCGTCATAATCTAACAAACTCTGTATAAGAACTCAGATGATAGGTAAGGATGTTGTTAATGGCAGAGATTAAAAATGAGCATCAACACTGTTTCTCTTTCTCCTTTCAATGATGGGCATATAATGTCATCCCTGAGATAGTGAAATGAAGAAAATCTTCGATTGAACCCTTGATAACAAACTGCAGAATACCCATGCCACTTCAAATTCTTTTTTATAATTATAATCTTGATATTTTTCAAAGTACAGCATTAGTGCTCAATTATATGTACTATCTAGAGTCTATCACATGCGATGTAACTCAGTTATGGGAGTGCAAGTTTCCTGTTCTATAATATCACTAATAATGGTGCTACTGTTTAGTTCTAGAGGACTTTTCTTTAAAAGCAGTTCAGAGAATTGTCCTGTTGATCTGAACCTGTGAGACAGATGCAGCACCAATGTTGTTCACAAGGAAAAGACATCTTTCAAATGTATTCTACAGAAAGACACGTTCTCAAACCTTCACTTACCAATATTGCATACTCTGTGGCCAAACAAAATGAGCTTTGCATCTCCTGGCATAAATGAAAAGCTTATTTTTAAATGCCATATGCTGCTACGATTCATGCTGTTTTTAATGATTATCACACTTGCAAGCAAAATGCTATATTAGTTTTATATTCGTGTAATTCCTGATTATCACAGATACACACAATGAAAAGACAGAAACAATATTAGGGATTGCCAGAGATACACAGAATCTCAAAAAGTCCTCTAATCTAGCATCCCATCTTTATAGACATTTGAAATTAAGTCATCCAAGACAAATGGTAGCATTTCCCTTTCAATTTAATAAGTATTTTATGGAGGACCATGTGCGACCTATACTATGGAAAATAGAAGTTGAAGAACTTCATCCCATTATTAAGGGATATACAATATTTTTCAAAGAGGTGTAAAATAAATAGAAAATAAATAATAGTGTATTTACGTTGTGTATATCTTAGAATGGCACATGGTAAAAGTTCCCAAATTTTAACATGCCTCAGAATCCCACATCACTAAAACACAGGTAGCTGGACCCCCACCTCTCATTATTGATTTAGTCTACAGTGGGACCCCAAAATTGGCGTTTCAATGACTTCCCAAGTTTTGCTGATGCTGCTGGTTCCTGGACATACTCTGGGAACCAATGCAGTAAAATAAAGGGATTGAAGAGGCCAGCCCTGGAACTCAAGGGTAGAGTTTGGATCCTGGCTTCATAACCTTGAATAAGCTACTTATCTCCATTGCCACGGTTTATTCACCTGTAAAATGAAATAGTAACAGTGCTTACCTCAAGTGTTATTGTGGGACTTAAATGACATCATGCTTGTAAAGCAGAAGCACAGTGCCTGGCACATAGTAAGCACACAATAAGGGTTCATCATTGATGCTATTTCATATTAGTTCCTAAATAACAACAGTTCTCAGATCAGCATTGGTGTGTGAATATATATATATATATATATATATATATATATATATATATATATATGAGATAGTATAAAGTTATACAATAATACAATATCTTTCCTTGGAAATAATTTTCTTTTATCCTAAGACAACATTCTTTTTTTAAAATTATTATTATTAATTTATTTATTTTTGTTACAGATGTTTCTCCTTTTAAGACAACGTTCTTCCTAGTTTTTAGTGTTGAAATGTATTTATGTCTATGAAAATAATAGTAATAGAAATTGGCATTTATTTATTTGAATAATAAAACCTTGGCAATTCCATAACTGTCACCCTTCCCCATTATAATTTGGGGTTGAAATAGAAAAAATAAATAGAGGCAAGTGAAGATTGGGGACTTGCCAAGAGGACTGTGACAGTGTCGTCCAGATTGTAGTACTAGGAGGCCCACAGATCTCAGGAAGGGGATGAGGAGCACTTATAGGAATGACACTTATTTGTGGTAAGAGTAGCAGTTGTGGGCAGGGGTCAGGAGGGCAGTGTACAAGAATGTGGTGCACAAAATACAATGCCAGCTCTGTGGACTCAGTATGCAACAGAACAAGCAGCTGAGATGTGCCTGGGTAGCCTCACTGTGGCTTCACTTAATGGGTAGGTGTACAGTGCAGCACATCATCTGTGTTGCCATAGCAACTTTAAGGCAAATCTACCTGGGGACTTAACCTGAGAAGTCAGAGACTAGAGCCCTGCTCTGGCCACCTGATTGATGATTTTTCTAATAAAGGGTTCAATAAGGCAGAACTAAAATTCAAAATTCATTTTATTCTGGAAATGCAGGTGATCTCTTGGGTTTAGGGGATAGGCCTGGTATGAAAGTCAAATGTTTCTGTCCTTACTACCCTGGTCCTCTTTCAATCATCGAGCAAAATACATTTAAGCTGTATGCAACTCTCAAAGACAAAATACAATATTTTGTAGGTGCTTTGGCTTAATTGTTTTGGCCCTAATAACCACATTCTCACACCATTCGATTAGAAGGAACAATTCTAAGCAAATATTTTAAAGAAATATTTGTTAAGGTCTATTCAAACCTCTTTACATAAAGGTCAGGAATTAGAATTAGGGAGATGCTAGCATTCAGGAGAGAAATAAGAGTTAGTGGTATCTTTGGGGCCCACTAATAAGAAATAACCAACTGCTTTGATGATTCAGTGACCCCATTTTGAGCATAGGAATGGCTACCCAAATCAGCCATGGAAAAGAACCTGCTTCAAGTAGACAGAGCCCAGTAACTAAATGTTGTTGAAAAGCATTGTCTTAGGAAATGGAATACAATATCTGTGAACTATATATCTGATAAAGCATTATTATTTAAAATATATGAGAAATTCATACAACTCAATAACAAAAGAAATAATAATTCCAGTTCAAGAATGGGCGAAAGACCCAAATAGACACTTCTCCAACGTATAAATGGCCAACAGGTATATGATAAGGTGCTTAACATCACTAACCATCAGGAAAATGCAAATCAAAACCACAATGAGGTATCACCTCCTACCTGTCACGATTACTATTACTAAAAAATAAAAGATAAGAAGTGTTGGCAGAGCTGTGGGGAAAGGGCAACCTGGTACACAGTTGGTGGAAATGTAAATTGGTACATCTATTATTGAAAACAGTTTAGAAGTTCCTAAAAATGTTAAAATAAGAACTACCCTATGCATCTTATCCAGCAATCTCACTTCTGGGTATTTATCCCAAGGAATTAAAATAGAATCTGGAAGAGGTACCTGTAGTCCATATTCACTGCAGGACTATTCAAAATAGCTAAGATACAGAAACAACCTAAATGTCCATTTACAGATGAATGGATAAAGCAAATGTGGTACATATACACCATGGAATATTATTCAGCCTTTAGAAGAAGGAGCATCTGCCATTTGTGGCAACATGGGTGAACTTAACACTAAGTGAAATAAGCTATCACAGAAGGACAAATACTGGATGATCTCACTTATATGTGGAATCTTCAATAGCAAATTCATAGAAGCAGAGAGTAAAAGGAAGGTTGCCAGAGGCCAGAAGTGTGTGTGTGGGGGGGTGACAAGAAAGTGGTGATCAAAAGCACACAGTTTCAGTTATGCAAGATAAACACATTCTGGAGATCCACTACACAGTGCAGTGCCTATAGCTAACAATACAGTATTGTATACTTAATATTTGCTAAGTTAAGAGAGTAGATCTTATGTTAAGTGTTCTTACCACAAAAAGAAAATAATAATATTAAAGACGGAAGTAAACTTTGAGAATAATGGGTATGACTGTGGCTTTGGTGGTGATGATGGTTTCATGGGTATACTTATACCCAAATTCAGGAGTTGTATAGATTAAATATGTACAGGCTTTAACACGTCAGTCATACCTCAATGAAGTAGTTTCAAAAGGAATGAATAAAAAGCATTGTCTTAGTTTGGGTTTCTCCAAAATCCAACCCTGAGACAAAGATTTGGGTGCAAGCAGGTTATTTGGGAGGTGACCCCAGGAAGCATGGTGAAAGAGTGGAGACGTGGACAAGGAAGTGGGGAGGCGCAACAAAAGTAGATAACTGCAATGGGCAACTCTAACTCAGTCCTGCGGAGCACCCATTGAGGCGCTAACTGTATGTGACACCCCGCAGACCTGTCCCCTCGCAGAGCTGTGTTTTAACCCAGCAGGAGAAGGCACGAGTACCTGGCAGGCCAGCTCCTCAGGAAGCTGATCTTGGCCACCTTTGTGCGGAGGCCACTCCTCCCACGGGCTGCTCCCACCAATGACCTGGTGTGGTGGCGACACTGAGGCAGACCTGTTCTTGAGAAACATGGGACGCTTTTCTTGAGACTGAAGCTTGAAGACTTCCTGACAGAATTGGCTCCCACCATGTAGGATGCATCCACCCAAATTCCTGGTCATGGACTTCCTCAGGTCACACTCGCATCCTGGTCTCAAAGTTCTCCCAGGCTTCCTGGCCCCCTCCCTATTTCCTTTCACAGGACATTTCCCTTTTTTTTATTTTTTTATCCTCACCCGAGGACATTTTTCCATTTTTTGTTCAGGTAGAGTGGGAGGGAGAGAGAGGAACAGAGAGAGAGAGAGAGAAACATCGATGTGAAAGGGACACATCGAGTGGTCACCACCCGCACAACCAACCAGGGCCGGGGACAAACTGCAACCGAGGTACATGCCCTTAGCGGGAACCGAACCCGGGTCTCTCCGGACCGCAGGCTGACGCTCTAACCGCTGAGCCAAACCGGCCAGGTTTGGCCTTTTTAATCCCCTCTTAGCATCTGCTTCTCTGATGATCCAACTAAACACATCCCCCACAGCCTACTACTCCCTGGTTGAGGGTCTCGC